TATATCAATAAAATAGATGCAAATAAGTAAAATGGACGCGTTAAAACAGCTTAGTGTAGCTGTGAACAACTGAATTTATTAAATATCCACAGATAAAATCATGTGTATTAATTTATCTTTCGATTTAACAATGTGTTTCCTTTAAAAAATGAATACTTTTTTCATTGCTGAAGTAACTCGTGGAATACAAAAATGTATTGATAAATATATTAGACAGGGGAAAATTAAGACGCAGAAAGGGATTGTCTATGACTTGAAACAAACCTGAGTCCATAAACTAAATTCCTTAACACAGAAGTCCATAGCATCACAATTCAGTAGTCTTAGCCAACAAACATAAGAACTACCCACACATCACAGGAAACGAGGACAAAGGAGTGCCGTAGTCTTTTCATGAAGACTTAATAGCAAGCATGGACTGCAAGACAGAGTAACCTTCAAGGCATAGGCATTTAGCTTGAATTCTTGGACATTTGGCTATTTATACTGAATTTTTGCTGTTAAAATAGCGCTTTCATGTAACCTAAAATAATTCTAGATTGGGACATGAGAGTGAATATTTATAAAATGTACTCACAAGTAGTGATACAGGGAAGAACTTAGACTACCGCCACTCTTGCTCGGCGCCGCGGCAAATATGAATGCAAATGAAAACTGACAGGATAAAACCATAATTACTTTAAGTAAAGACCTGCATATTATTTTTACGCGCTAATCAACCGTCATTCAGCTATAAAAGCTACAGAAATAATCACTTTTTAACTTATTTTTTTAAATGAATATAAAACTTAAAATGTAAAACATTGTATTCTTGGAAAATACAATTTATTTTTGGCAAGGAATACCATAAAAACAATAAATCTTCCCTTAAACAAAGTAGTTTAAAGGTGAATATGATACATAAAAATAATACTGAATATTTTTCAAACTTAGTATTGAAATGATGAACGACGAAGTTAGTACTATTTTTAGCAGAGTTTTACCTTTTTAATAAGTCATTTAAAATACAGGGTAAATCAGCAACAGTTATCTTGTTACAAATATTTACAGGCTAAAAACAAGTACGAGGCACATACAAGTATTTACCTGAAATTAAATTTTAATTCCCGAAATTTCTTGTCACATGTTAGATATATTTCATGTGGAAGCCTTTTGTGACATGATACATATCCAGTCCAAAGAAGAAAATGACAAAGCATTCTTCGCCAGGCTTTTATATTCGCCGGACATCCAGTCCTTGTTTGTTGCTCTCCTTTGTGGAAGAATATTAAAATAATTGTTTTGTACCGCTAATGAGGTCCGACATTGATTAACTAAAAATCCGCAGTATCCGTGACGTGAGGTTGCGTCAGCCATATCGGATATGCTTCAACTTGTGCGGAATGAAATGGGTTAGACTGGATGTGTGTCACGTGACAGAAGAGTCTGGATAGAACATATGCAATACGTAACAAAAAATTTAGATGGTGAAAGTTTAGTTTGATGTATGTTAGGTAAATATATGTTGATTAAATATTTTATAACAGGACATTCCCTTTTAACTTACCCGGTAATATTACTCAGTAACTTATAGTAAATAAACTAAACGGCAAAGAATTAAATAATAGCTATTCCGATATTATTAAATAATTAACATTACTGTCGAAGCATACTAAAAAATTATATAGGGTTATTTTTTTTCAGCTTATCTTCACCATGAATGAGTTAGACTACCCCCGCCTCCAAAGAGACTTTTCTCACTCCCAATAAAGTAAGCCTTTCAAAAAAAAAAAAAAAAAAAAAAAAAACTGCAGAAATGCTATCTGTACTCTGTAAAATGGAAATTTTTGTTCACGAAATATGAATAATTATATCATGTAGTTCGTTTCTTGGTTAAAGAAGAAGAAAAAAAAATATTTTTTTTATTTAAATCATTACACAGAGAAATTCCTTACAGGATAGCAAAAAATATTTATTTACTGCATAATAAATCCTGTCGGTGCATGTTATTATCTTTGCTATTACATATGCGAATTCGAAACCTCTACGCACTAAAATAATTGAAAGAAAAGCGGTTCAAATTTTGTCCCGAGAAATGTTTAATCTAGTTTTTACCCACCGGCTATACAATATGGCGTTTAAAAATAAAACCAGACCTTTCTTAAAATGCGATTTTCATGCGTTGTTTACGAAATCATAAAAAATAAAGCATCGTTATAGTTGCTTTGTTAAAAGAGAATTCAGTTTACAAACTTTTTTTTTTGTTTTGTTTTGTTCTGAGGATACATTTACGGACCGAGGCATTCTACACGCTTTAAGGCTTGCCGTCAAATTTTTCAGCTCTTCGCTTAGCTATGTTTTCGGAATAAATTACTTCAAAAAATAATCATAAATAAATAAAAACACAAAGAAAGCACGAATAAAATAATAAAATATCTTAACTATATTTTAAATGAAATTGCAGAGTGGGTGGGAATGTGTTAAGGACTCGTTTAAATTTTCAGAGAATAAGCGCGCACATTATTTTCATTTTTTAGCCCATTATCAACGCATCAGAATCTAAAACAACAATTTTGTCGCTGTTTGCTGTAAACCACACATTAAAACGTGCGAATACCTTTCACAAAATAGCCCATTCTGCCATTAAATGAATACACAGCTCCAACAAGTGCATAGTTAAACTCATTTTTAATGCCTAAAAAACAGGTTTTTCGTATTTATAAAAACATATATTAACTCAAAATCTTTGGACTCTTTCCAAACTGAAAGCGCTGTTAAGTTTTCTTTTCTTAATATTTTCTTTTTTTTTTTTTTTTGAATAACCTACTCTTATGAAATATGTTGGTCCAGAAACGGATTTAAGCTCAAAAGACAACACAAAAGCGCCTTAAAAAATAAAGTGCACGTTGCATATGAAATGGTAGGATATATTAGCATCCTTTTATTTATTTTTTATTGTTGCTATTGTTGTTGTCTGGGATTCGACAGAAACAAGATAAGCTTAAAATGATGCCTAAAGATTCTCCCCCTGTGGACCATATTTGCATCCACTTTTTTCCCTTCTTTTTTTTTAAACCTAGGACGATATAAACTTCTCCTGCTTATAAATTAATAGGTTCTTAGGTTACTCGGAAATGTTTTCTTCTCAAAAGGGGGAACTCGTCGGAATTGGATTCCCCTTAACGGTACGGATTAAAAGACCCCTTAACATCTATTTGAAACAAGATTATTTTCCCCTCTCTGCATCGGGACGATTTAAACATTACTAAATCTTATTAATATTTAATAAACTCACATTAATATCTAAATTAAAAATGATGGGTCACAGGTACATAGAATAGAGTTCTAAACATAAAGGCACGAGAAGAGATTTACAGAAGAATGCGGAGGTTACGTAATTTAGGTCCTTTTCTGAAACTGTAAATACACTTTAAAAAGCTTTACGAAATTTAAATTTCATTTTTATTTTACATATGATTAATTTTTTCCTCCCTTGAACAGACTGCTAGATATTGAAATAGAAATAATACGAAAGATAAGAGCTTTCAAAACCCTGCCTTGATTGAATAACTGTTACGACTCGGTTATGCAACAGAAGAATTGATAGTGCATGCGCATTTGAAGTAAGCCAGACTATAAAATTTCGAAACGTTGCCAGAAACTATTTACTGTTCCCCCAGATGGTCTCTGGCGCCCAGTCTTTGTGCAGTTATGGAGCCGTTATATTCAGTGGCACATCCGATGAACACGAGGGAGCTGGAAAAAGTGGACCACGGTGTCATCCAACAGCAATCTTTGGTTTCAAAATGACTCTTGGCAAGCCAAGAAGATAAGAAAACAAACAGCAAAACGCTCCAACAGCTCATATTTAACGAAGGATGTTCAGTTTACCGGATAGACGAGGTGGAAGGCAACGCACCACCTGTACGCAAGGCAACCTGTAAGCAAGGTGGAAAGCAAAAATACAATGGCACTCCATCTCACAGACCCATCATAAGATTACTGAACATAGGTATTTCGATTCGTGTTCATAGGATTTTATGCCTAAATAGGGCTTTCATAATTTTCTCAGTATATGGCATAGATATAAGCCAGTTTCTATTAGAATCCCCTCCTTAAATGCATTCCTTCTTTAGGCAGTTAGTCCTAGAGTGCTTTCTCATACAAAACAAATCTAACTCAAGCCTATCCTGTTTGCCGATCTTTGCTATAAATCATATGCTGTTTGCATCAAAATAAAATTTTTCAAATAAGATAGTTCCTCCTCAACCCCGTAACGTTCCATTTTAGGATCTTTTAACACACGCATTTTTACTCGTAATTGCACGCATTATAAATTTACGTCATGAAATGATGATTCAGAAAACATAACACAGTAAAGTGTAAATAATTTCTCTTTTATTACACACGGTTCTTAAGAGCAAAATCCAAAGAACTTGAACATTTTTACTTAAGTAATTTATAAAATTAACTAAGTGATTTTTCGAAGAAAAACGGATGAAACTCTTAAGCAAATTTTAATTAATTTTATTTATTTTATGCTTGAAAACGCAATATGAAATAAGATCATAACAAATATCCCCTTTCTTGTTTTTTTTATATTTAATTTTAGATTATTTTAATATGGTTTTAATGCTTAACTTTTTATTGTCTATATGTTATTTTTATTTTTTTAAATTATTAAAACTCATTTCGACGCATTGATACATTCCAAAGACTTCATAAAGGGTGTATTATTTTATGCGATAATTTTATGCAATAATTTACCTAGATAAATAGTTCTTAAAAACAAGTTTACGAAAGTTCATGAAAATAAAATACAAATAAAAGTATGAAACTCATGAATACATGCATTCTCAAGACAATTAATTCTTTAATTACTTTTGGAAACAAAGCCAACTTTTCCAGTGAAAAAACACTAAATTTGCATACATTTTAGTAAAACTGTAAGAGAGTGGAAGATAACCATAATTTTTTTTAAAAGTTAAATTACACAACATTAAAAAGCTTAAAATTCTTACAAGTTGCACGGGTTACACATAAAAGATGTTTGCTTGAAAGAGTTGCCGTCAACATACACTGGTTCCAGATCACCTACAAAGAGAGAACCATAATGCAATTACTATTACATTCTAAGGCGAAGATTACAAAAAAGTAACATTTATGAAATAAAGGCTTTAAAATATTCCGGTATATGTTTGGTATTTTTTTTTCTCTTGGGATAACAATAGAAGGATTTTAATATTCAGCTGAATGTTTATTTTGTTTCGGTAAACTGTTTATCATTTACGAATAAGTCTAGAATTTTTGAAGCTTGGCTTGAAAGCTTATCAAGCCAAGCTTCAAAATTCCAGAGTAATCTTTTCTTATATCTCGCAAGGAAGCTTAAATATATTGAAAGATAAATGTTATGTCACACGCAAAAGCTGAGGTTTATGAAATTCGTACAAAGCTACTATACAAACATTTTAGTTATTTCTCTAAAATACGTATTTTCTCATTTTTTTTTTTTAACCGCGGCTAATATATTTATAGCTCTGTTTTTGTACAACAGCCTTAGTGTTATGAACTATAAGATCCTATTTAAGTTTCACTCCCGCAATTTTCATTTAAGAAATATAATTGCGCCTTAAATTTTCGTATGTAATGGGAAGAACAGTAACTTCACCTGCTGGCACAGTTTGTAATATTATTAGTGTGCAATTCTGCTTTCTTTAGCAATAAAGTTTTATTATTTTTCTATTTGCAGCATAAACTCTTTTTTTTTTCATAAGAAGAAAATTGGATGGTCGGATTGTGTTTGATAAGTTAAGTTGATTTATAATTTGATGTACAGAACGTAAATTTGCATTTTTAAATTTTAAAGTAATATCTGACTACAGTTTGAGTAATTCGATCTCTCGTTTTTTATTTTTATCGATCATTTTTGCTTATTTACAGGTATTTATAATATTAAATTATGTACATATATTGACAAGATTGATCACTTTGTCTAAAGTGCATATTCTTCCCTTTTAACGTACCAAAACATAGGCCATGTATTTATCATATTTATGTAGCCTTTTCGCATCGTCGTGCATTTTTAAATAGCTGATCCGTCATCATTAAATTAGTGTCGTATTTTTTCCCTCTTCTAGTATTTTAACATGTTCCCTTTTACGTTTTCCTTTTGATGCCACAAATAATGAGGAAAATAAAACAACGCGTTTCTGAAGTCTAATTTCATACAGCGGCTTTCCTTTAGTCAATGTCTCTAAAGCAGCGGTCGCCAATCGATGGTCCACTGACCACTGGTGGTTCGTGAAAACGTTTTGATGGTCCGCAGAAAAATTGGGACATTATTTATATTTTTATGAAGATTTAGTTTAAAAAATGAAGAGTAACAAAACCTATTATGGAATATGAATTATACTTTTTTTTAAAATTTTAGCTACTACTTTTAGCGAAATTCCTTCTGAATTTAGCGACTTTTTAGCCATTTTTGCAGGTGTATCTAGCGACATTTGAAAGTGAGAGTTAGCCTCCATGGATATGTTCCTATTAACAACAATAGCGCGAACTTGAATTCTCTTTTCCGTTTGAATTACAAACATATGGTATTGTGGTCGTTAATAACACAGTTTGTCTCCATGTCAATAAGCATCTTGATGGATTTTTATGAGAACCATCAGCATTCTTGTTTATAATTGCATCACTGGAAGTTTCCGTTATTGTTTTTTCTAACTGTTGATCGATGGCGCCATTGCTGAGTACGCGATGATTATTATATGTTTACAATAATTAAAAATTGGCGACATAACACTGTCAGTTTATTGATATTGCTTTGCGTTTGGCGGTGTTCTTGCTTTTCCTGAAGTTCCTTTTCAGTGATATCGAAACGTGAAGCTTTCTGTACAAGAAGGTAAGATTTTTGTACTTGTCATGTAATTTTTTAATGTGAACGAAATATGAGTAGTTTGTTGATTATTATTGCATAAATGTATTTACTTTTTTTTAAATTCATATTAGTGTTCCGCCAAATATAAAATTATATATGTAGAGGTCCATGAAGTTCTGAAGGTTGACGACCGCTGCTCTAACGGATCTACTATGAAAAAGTTTTAAAACGATAAAGAAGTGAATACAAAATTAGTTGAAACCATTCCAGTGCTAAAAAACTACACGTTGTCACGTTGATATCAGAATGGAGTTTTCACTTCTGTGTAATTGTGTATACTTCAAAACTAAATTCTTATTGTAATAGTTAATGTAAAAATATGTCTTCCATATTTGCGGTTTACACTAGTGATAGAAGTAGATACGGAAGAAGGCGTTTTTGATTAATGGCCAAAGGGGGACGTTTAGGAGCAAGCAATAAGAAATCAACTATCAAAATCTGATAGTTTAAAAAACACTTTTTAATAAAGTAGAAATAACTGGAACTTTTAAAAATCCATTTTATTTTAAAAACATTACAATCACGCAACATTACAAGAATGATATCAAAACATGCAAAAAATTCTTGATATAAGTTGCCAGGTCACGTTAATATATGCAGAGTTAATTTTCACACTCCTTAAGTTTCGAAAGTTTCGACTAAGGTTTTAAAAAGTTCGATTAAAATATAATACGCACGTTAAAATATATCAGTGTAACATTTCAAAAACAGGAGACAGATCTTTAACTACAGTGACATAAACCATGCACAAGATGCTCGCTTTTTAAACTTAATGTAGGTTCTTTCAAGTTCAACGTACAAGAATCTGTACATGTTAGGATAATTACAATAAATGAGACTTGATCACTAATACACACTCTCAAAATAGTATAATGAATTTTAATAAAACCTATTTTTCAGAAGATAAAGGCAATTCAGTGGCATTCCAACTCATTGGCCCACCAGTCACCGAGTGTGTCATATTGTCATAAGCTTTGATCATCCCACTTTCAGATATAAAATATACTATATAGAGCTTGAACTGTCTGCTATCAGCATTACTTAGGAGGGTTATGCATACATACATGCGTACATAGATATATGCACCTCACGTATTATTAATCATATGATCATGGTAGTCTATATGTACAAATAATATGGTAAAATGAAACCAGATCATTTTCGATAGATAATTCTTATAAGTTTAGGCGAAGGGATTTCTTGATAAAAGCAGTGTTTCGCAGGAATTAAATACTGGACTGTAATTTCAATTAAGCAAATATCATATTGAGTCTGAGGGAGAATTGAATTCATGCATCACATGGAATTAAATGTTTAGATAAAATAAACTATTTAGGTACAGCTACAGTAAATAATATATAGCATTAACTAATTCTTCCAGTAGTTTGCGCCTCTCATGCTTAAGTCTGGACAAGTAGATAAACAGACTATCGAAAATTATCATTTCCCTATATATATATACTATATATATATATACGCATCTGATAACAAAAAGTAAAGAGGCTCCACTATAATTACGTTGGGCATTTGTAAGCAACTGTTTAATATCGTTGTGTTTACAAATTTCGATCAAATTGATAACTCAGACTTATTCGTGAGATTTCTTTTGTAACGAAGTAATAAGAACGAACAATCAACACTGTTTAATTACAATGAATAAATTCGCTGCCTGTGTATTGTAATCACTAGAGATTAAGTTGAATTTAAAAAATGTAAGTGAGCAAGTTCTGATTTCAAAATCCTGTTAAAAATTGTCTAGATTTATATAGAAGTTAAGAGAGGCTGGGGCAACTGCGATAGAATCGGGTTCAAATCTCAAATAAGGTACTAAATAAAGCTCGAATAAAGTTGACTAATATATTCGCGTTATTCAAAGTCTGTTGATTTAAAACTCCTTTCGAAAGGTTGATGATAACGAAAAATGTATTACAAATCCTCGGATTCCATTCCTCGGAAGTTCTTAATCAAGTTTGGGATCCAGCCGATTAAGTTCACAATACCAAAGACACTGCTCAACATCTTTAGCCAATGACTGGCGCCATCACCAATTCCCCCCTGATATGCGAATGATCACAGCTTGGAGATGAATAATTAATAATAATCACATAAGTTTTCTGTTTCTGACTTTTTACAGAAAAGCAAGCCAGTAGATAGAATAATTTTCAAGTTTGTAAGCAACATGGCCTTTACCCTATTCCGATTTTACAATTTCGCTTGCAGTTTTGCCTCTGCATAATATGGAAATAAGTGAGCATTTTATTCTATTTTTATTCTATAAGGCCGAAAAAATATAATTAACTTCCATTTTTATGAAATTTTATGATTGTTATGAAAAAAAAAAAAAAAAAAAAAAAAAAAAACTTTTGGTCCAAAGCTGCCCCTTTGGACTAAAAAGGCGGCATAAAACTTTTGAAGAAACTTAAAACTACTGCTGTTACTTATGCTCACTTGTCTGACCACAACATCAGCCCAATCCCACGAAATACCTCGTGGCAAGGAGCGCTAGTTTACGCCTGTCGTTGGCAAGAGCCCTGAGCATCTTACAGGTGACAATGCAATTTTGGTCAGTTCCGCCCCCAATTTTGAAGGAGAGCACCCCGGTAGGGACGGGTCCAAGGATCTCCCACCCCTCTTCCCTTAATGCCAATCTCTCGAGAGGACATTCGTCTCGTCGCATATTTAGAGTGCCCTCATGCCACAAGGACACTTTACATTTACAAGCATTCATGCCTTCTCCGGGATCCGAACCACGGCCCTTGAGCACGGCAGTCAGCGACTCTAACCACTATACCGGTTGGGCGGCGCGCGAAGCATTATATTCAGAAATTCTGTGTCTTTGCTAAGATTTGGCTGCTTGTGAGAATTTGGAAAACATTCTTAAAAAGTCTGAACTCCATTACATTTAGTTTTTCTACAGGAAATTTATATCCTCTCCCAAAAAACCACACGAGAGAACTTTCGGCTCTCCGCTTATTCAGAGTGCCGCCTTGCCGCACCGACACTATACTTTTACAAACACCCATGCCTTCTCCGGGATTCGAACCCGGTACCTTCGGCACGGCAGTCAGCGATGCTAACCACTATACTGGTTGGGCGGCTGAAACTTAAAACTGAAAGTTTTTATACCTTATTTTGTTCATTTCTTTTAAAGTAAGTT